TTCAACCTCACCTAAGGAAACAATATCAGATCGCAGACATTGAGAGCCCACCTTCATTGGTGCTGCCCTTGATGTCCCTTCATTAGTCACAGCCTTCATCACTCACATCCCATTGCATATGTCCTTCTAACCCTCAACCTTCCTAATACCGCGACTCTTTAATACAGTTCCTCTGGTGTGGTGACCCCCAACCATAACATTATTTTAGTTGCTACTTCATCACTGTCATGTTGCTACTGTTAGGAATCGTAAATATCTGATATGCAGGATGTATTTTCATGGTTACAAATTGAACATAATTAAAGCATAGTGATTAATCACAAAAACAATATGTAATTATATATGTGTTTTCCGATGGTCTTAGGCGACCCCTGTGAAAGGGTCATTTGACCTCCAAAGGGGTCACGACCCACAGGTTGAGAACCGCTGCTAACCCATGCTCAGTGAGTCTCATGCCCATAAGCAATTTCAACAAACTGATTGCAACTCCCAAGGCCGCACCAAAAAATGGTCACCAAAAAGTCCTGGTAAGAGTTCAGAATACTTTAAGCAATAAAACGAAAAATAAAATTAAAAATTAAATTAAAAAAAAGAGTTCAGAGAATGAAATATGTACCAACCCCAGTGTCTTCTTGTTTGAAATACTCGTTGGCATCCAATTAAAAACAGCAGAAAACGATATCTAGAACCCCCCACCCCATAAACTTTCCACTACCTTTTTAAGACGCCTTCATATCGAACTGTTCATCAATGTTCTAGATGCTCATGAACTGTTCTCTGAAATAACCTAACCAAACAGAATAAAAGTTTCTGTATCCCCAATGAACATTAATCTTATATGATGAATTTTTCCATCTCAGTTGATGTTGATGTCATACCTCCAGCTGCTAATTTCTAACCTTCACTTCATTGCTGACTGTTTCCCAAACTCAACATTAGAAAATCCAGGTGGCCACACCTAAATCACTGATCCTGAATGCAACTGCAACTTCCACCTCCACAGCCACCATCATGAGCCAGTTACCATCACACTCACACAGTCTATCACAGCTGCTTCCTTCCTCGTCTTCCTACCTCCTCCCTCTCAGGCGTATTGTTCATCATGCTGCAGCCACCAGGCGTCTAATGACACCTGGGTCGGATCACCTGCCTCCACTGCTCCAATTATCTCAATGATCCCATCACCTGAAGAACCAACTCCCAAGTTGCCACAAGGTTGCAATAGACCTGTCTCTTGTCCTATTGTTACCACTTTTTTTTTTTTTAGGAAAATATAAAAGAAGGATACCTGCATGTCCCTGAAATAGCTCAGTCTTTATTCCAAGCATTTGCACATTTACCTGGGAGGACCTCCTGCATCTCATGCCTCTGTGGAAAGAGAAATGTCTTTTGAGAACGTTGCAACCACCGCCGTTATCCCTGGGCTCAGGCCACTCAGTATGCTTGCCAGCCCCAGGCCAGGTTATCTGGAGATGCCTGCATTACCTCAGTCCAGAATCTTCAGTGCACTTCTAGCCTATTTTTCAAAGGACTTCTCCTTCCTGTCCCATATTCCCTTCTAATTTGTTCTTCCTCTGAGCAGTTGGGAAAAATTTAGAACCCTACTTCAGACAGTGTCACTCTCTTATTCTCCACCACCGATGGCCCTAGGTAAAACTCCTCACACAAGACTTGGCCTCATCTTGTCCGTTGCCTTTGGATTCGAAACAGACCTTGGTTTCCCAAATCCTCCCAGCTCAGCCACACCCACAAAACTTTACAGGGTGGCTTTGTAGTCTGACACCCTCTGTCACCCATCACACAGTGTATCACCCACAAGTGACTCACTGTTCTGTATGCTGTGACCTGGGCTTCAGGACCCGAAAGGCACCAGCACCCAAGGATAGAGGGTAAATGGAGTGAGGCTGAATAGGTCTCTGCAAGAAAAACGGAGTCTGGGAGGCATAAAGGCCTCAATACTGACTGTTGCTGCTCAACAAGCTTCAGACAAACCACTGCACTGCTAGGCCAGTGCTTCGGATGCCTGGTCCTCATTGTGACCCAGCATTGGAGCCTCTGACTATGTTAACAGAACAAAGAGGTAAAAATGAGCACCTAGAGAAAATTGCAGGAAGTAACACTCAAACCAATCAGCACTGATAATACACCTGTCCTGGGCTTTCATTGGCTAAATGCAGCCATCATTAGGTGCATTGCCCTTTGGGTAAGTTACTTTTTCAGGCACAGCAGGTGGCTTAGGATCCCAATCACTGACTGATCATTGCAAATATTGGCATTGCAGCCCCCCAGTGGTGCTGGGAAATGATAACTGTAGGATTTGGCGGCTGGTGGCAGGTTTCTGGGAAGTCTTGTCTGCAACCTATCTCTTGTTTTGATCTATTATTTCAGATTCTGTGCTTTCAGAATGCTCCATGAGGTGAAAAGAATCATTTCAATTATTCCTGAAGACCACTAACCTAAATGGGCCCCATTCTTCTCCATCCCCTGGTCCTAAGGGGCAATCAGGGCAGCAGCTGCTGCTCGTACCCACTGCGGGTGCTGGCCCAAATCACTCCTCACTGTCAGCGGGTGCAAGTGGGCCAGTGCTGTCAGTGAGTGGGAGTGGTGGCAGCAGGAGCCTGGCTGACGGCAGATAGGTGGCTGAGGGCTGTGGCAGGAGGGGCCGGGTGGAGGCGCAGAGGATGGACTGAGACCCACCCTTGTGCCCACTGCAGCCTTGCTGCCCACAGTTCCTTTCAGGGTACACGAATTAATGCACTGGGCCCCTAGTGTAAGAATAAAAAAAAATGTAGACTATTCATGAATTGAAAATAGTCCTTGCCCTGGCCACTTTGGCTCAGTGGATTACAGCATTGATCCATGGACTGAAAGGTCCTGGTTTGATTCTGGTCAGGGCATGTAATTGGGGTGCAAGCTCAATCCCTGGTCCTGGTCAGGGTGAGTGCAAGAAGCAACCAATTGATTTGTCTCTCTCACATCGATGTTTTTCTCTGTGTCTATCTCTCCCTCCCTTTTGCTCTCTCTAAAAATCAATGGGAAAATATCCTTGGGTGAGGATTAACACACACAAAAACAGTCCTTTGCATACATTTAGTGGGAAGAAAGTTCCAGATATTTATCTACATTCACCTTTTGTCTTTAGTGCAAAAATGGCATGAGATCTTTGAGACTAAATAGATCAAATGGATTCTTGTTGAACACACACAAAAGTAAGAAAAACAAAATTTCCTTTAATATATAAAAGAGGAGAGAAGATTATTGGAATTGCAGAGTCTTTTGAAAATTGATTCTGGCACTGGCCAGTGTGGGTCAGTCCTTAGAGCATGGCCCGTATACTGAAGGGTCTTCAGCTCGATTCCCAGTCAAGGTACATACCTGGGATGCAGGTTTGATCCTCCAGTCCCTGTTGGATTGTGTGCATGTGTCTCTCTTGCATCAATATTTCTCTCTCTCCCCCTCATCTCACTCTTCTCTCCCCCCCACCCCGACTCTGTTTCTCCCCCTTTTTCCCTCCCTCCCTTCCACCCTTTTCTAAAAATCAATGGAAAAAAATATTCTCGAGTGTGGAGTAACAGCAACAACACAAATAATTCTGAAACTAGATTGTGGTGGTGGTTATATAACATGCTTAGACTAAATGCCTCTGAATTCTATACTTTAAGACAGTGAAAATGGTAAATGTTGTATGCATTACCACAATTCAATTAGCTTCCACCGCTTCTTGGCTTTTTGGCTAAAATCAAGTGCAAAAATGAGCTCCCCTCCAATCCCATAATTTATTTAAATATGCCTGCAAAAGCTACTTTGCAAGGAACTGGCACTCTGGGACTTAAAGGGGGGAGAAGAGGGGGCGGGGGGAGAAAGAATAAATCCGGGTTGAATTTGCAGGATTGCCTATGGTTTTCTTTGTTCACAACCTGTAATATCTTTGCTAACTTCTGGGCAAGTTGGAGTTGGGCCAGTATCACCAAACAAGGAGTGATGGGCACTCTGGCCTGGGCAGACTTGCACGCCGGGTGTCTTTTGCACATTTGATTGGTCTGGATTCACAGCGGAGCCAGTTGCAAAGGGACGTAGGCAGGATGAAGAGCAGCTGGGCTCACAGTGTTCTGCAGAGTCAGCTGATCAGGAATCCCAGCTGACACAAGAGGCCCTTTATGCTTTGATGCTGGAGCCCTGCTGGCTGCCCTGAGGCACAAGCCCCCATTCATTTGTTCCCTTTGGACGTTAGTGCTTTGGGGCCTCTCGGATTTGTGTTGCTGCAAATGACAGCAGATAGGGGTGGCTGCATATTGGTTGCCTCCTGTACAAGCCCCAATTGGACCGGGGATCGAGCCTGCAACCAACCAAGATACGTGCCCTTGACCAGAATCGAACCTGAGACCCTTCGGTCCGTGGGCCCACGCTTATCCACTCAAATCGGCGAGGGCATAAACTTACATTTAAAATATCCATTGAAAGTACATGCCTAGGGCTGGGCTGTGGCAATACTTCAAAGCACTTTGAGCCTCATGAAGACTGAACAAGCAGTCCCAGAATTGGCTATTTTCCTCCAAGCGAGCCACTGAGGTCACTGGGAGCCAAGTAGAAAATTCTGAGGGAAATGGTGCCATCTTGTGGTACTTTTGCAGTTTTTCGGGCCATTTGGAAAAAAAACAAACGTTTTTTAGAGCAGGTTTAGGTTCACAGCAAAGTCCAACAGAATGTACAGCAGGTCCTCAACATAATTTCATCCAATGTCATTTTGTTATAACGTTGATGAGATGGCGTAGAAACTTAATGCTTCCTTGTATTCATTAGCCTATGGGAAAATTGATTTTGTTATACACCCAACAACATGGGTAGATCTCAAAGTTATTATGTTAAGGGAAAGAAGCCAAACAAAAGGAGTATAGTGTGTGATTTCCTTTACAGAAATTTCTAAAAACTGTAAACTAACCCATGGTGACAGAAAGTGAGATGGCAAGCCCCCTCCCTGCTTGCACCACCATAACCACGCCTCAGCTTCTGTAATCTCCCTTCGTCTTCGTCTTCTGCTTCTCCAGCAGGGCCCACTGCCGGTCAAGTTTCTGCTGTCTCAGGTTGCTACCCTCGTGATCTAAGACACTGCAGGGAATCTAGTCGGAATGAGGCTTGGAAGTCATGTCTGTCGCGGGAGGGACAGCGGCGCAGGAGCGCTGCTCAGCTTTCGGCCAACCCAACCACATCTTCCCGGGTCGGGCACAGGGCCCCGCTGAGGCCCGCGCAGCACACCAGGGCCCGGGCCGCAGGCTCCAAGTGGCTGCGGGTGCGATGCTGCGGGAGAAACAGCCGAGAGCACCGGGCAACAGTGGGAGGGCGGGCAGCGCTGGCGCGTAGAAGTGGGAGAGGCGAGTCGCCCGCCCCTCGACTCTAGAGGGGCTCCACCGGCGCAGAGGGTCCGAGCTCTGCTTGGTTGCGCCGCCGGCCCCTCCTCCCCAAACTGCAACAGCTACCTGGAAGCTTAGCATGTAACTTAGAAAGAATGTCTAGAATGTGTATGTATGCCATATACGGGAGACAAAGAACCTAGGGAGATACTAGAATGTAAGAAAAACCCTGCCGTGTTTGGTGCTCAACCTCTGGAGGGGACTCCACTGAGACAGCACTGGTGCGAATATATAGTCCTTTTCTGAACCCTCCAGTGCGTTTGGTTTGTCGCTTCCCGCCATAACAAAGGCACCATAGTGTTTGTGGACTGGGGGTGGAGGCCCAGGAAAGACAAATAGCCAAGAAGCCAGAGGAAATGTGCGGGGCGCCTACGCAGGGTCATAGCATTTGGCAATGCAAAGGTCTTGGCAGAAATCGGATGGCAGGTGATGAGCGATACCAAAGATGTACGTGACATTTGCACTGGCCTTGATGAACTAGCACCTGCCAGTCAGATTTGAATTTTTGTTAGAGCTCTTCTATGTAGCCTGGCTCAGCAGCCTCTGCACTTGGCCACGAAGGCCAAAGAAGTCTGATTCTCAATGGCCGCTTTTATGAACCTTGTTGCAAGCTGAAGGAATCGTGGAAGCCAGAATTCGGGCGGGTGGAGACAGGAGCCATTCCAGGAAGGGAGGTGTTAGCCTTACCAAGGTTTTGGACCTTTTGCGTTTCAACCGACGCATGGCGACAAGCTAAGAGCCCTGAAAGGACCGTGAGCTTATTGGGGGCCCTCACCACACTCCAGGCCCAGGCCAGTGCGGGGTATTGCACCCAGTGGCCCCTATGCCCTGCGTGTGCCCCGCCTCGGCACCCTGCGCGGCATCCTTGCTGAGCTCTTG